TTATTAAAAAATTTGTAAATTATAATCAAATTTTGATAATGATTTTCTTGATAACTAGTAATTAGAATTAGCTAAAATTTTTACTAAAGATAGCAACAATATTTCTCTATAATATATATAAATTTTATCTAAATTGGTCAAGTAGTTCTTAAGTAATCGCTTCTATACGATAGTTAATTTTTTAAAAAAATTAACTATCGTATAGATGCGATTACTCAGGAACTACTTAATCAATTTGGATAAAATTTATATATATTATAGAGGAATATTGATACTATATTTAGTAAAAATTTTAGCTAATTTTAATTACTAGTTATCAAGAAAATTGTTGTCAAAGTTTGATTATAATTTACAAATTTTTGATATATATCATTAATAATTACAATTGTTTATACTCGATAGAGGTGCTATTAATCGATGATAATTTTCTGATTATAATTAATTATAAGCTGTTTGCAAATTTTGGTGATGATATCTTAAATATTCTTCTATAAGAAGAATATATGAACTTAATTAGTATTAGTCTCTGAGTGTAATTGTGATTATACTAACTCGATTTAGAAAATAGATTGGTGCCAATTGTATAAAAATCCTACAAAGCTAATCCCAATTAAGAAAGTTACTTGCAAAGTTCTAAATATAGTATCTATATCTGAAAACCTGTACTACAGAAGTTATGATTAGAAATACAGAAAAATGCAAGCTGTTATATATAAACATACCCTGAATATTGTAAAATAGTTAGTGCAAACCTATGATAAATTTATATAAGGGTTATCCTAGCAATATAGAGTAGAACTATATGTTAGCTTCATAAATATGCAATATGTATACAATTGAAATACTTTCATCATCACAGTAGATTATAGCTATGTCTTTTGGAGTTATACTTCCAACTAGCTCTACATCTTTCTCATCTAAATTAACAGATTCACCTTTATTAGACACTATGTCTGCACCCCTAATTTCTATTTTATCTCTTAGATTTCCATCTCCTTTCTTAATTACGTCATCGTACGTTTCCCTTTCTTCATTATTCGCATTTAAATTATTACTAACTTTTGGTAACTATACTCAACATCGGTTTGTCTACAAGACTCAACATCATCAGCAACTTTCGTATCCTACTCAAATACCGCGGCTTCATCAAATCTGGCCATGTACTTTTTACTATCAGATTCTACAAGTATACTTTCAGCGTCACTTTCACCACAATACAATGTATATCGGATATTGGAGCTTCACTTTTAATTAATTTTCCACAGTCAAATACTAATCTATTTTCATCTTCTACTTTAGGTTCTATAACTAATTCTCCATCTTCAACATACTCCGAATTCTGCTCAAGCATCTGCTTTTTGTCCTTGTCCATATTACTGGTGTTTTGGTAGCAGGTGAGTATCTTATTTTCGTCCCTTTTAATTTCCTTCTTTTCCTCACCACAATGTCTGATACTATACAATCCACTCACATCCTCTTTCTTCTCGTTTTTACTACTCTCTTTTTTATTACTTGCTTTAACTGCTTTTTCTTTCGTATTTTCTACCTCTTTTACAAAATCATTACAATCTGCATTATCCCAGAACCATTCGAGTAGACTTGTTTTACAACTTGCATCAAGCTTTAGATCTTTGTTGGGTACTTTATTTTCATCCTTACCAACGTCTTCTTTCTCTGCACTATCACCTGTATACTACCATCCTAAGTCCATTTCGTAGGCCATTAATACAATTATTTGGCAAGATTAATAGTAATCTGCCCAGGTTCTCGTGTCGTGGGTTAATCAATGACTTGCGCCACTAAATAACCTAGCTCTGACAGCAAGCACTCTTCTATCAATGACCACCTCGACACCTTGTGTACACGGCTTGGATAAGTATATTATTATTATTTTTCGAATGTTCTCTTTTATCGCAAGTAAAAGCACTTATTGATTCTTTA